ATGAAATGAAAAATGCAATAGAGAGCATCAACAACTGATCAGACAGAGCAGAGAATCAGTGAGTTAGAGGATAGAAACTTTGAAATAACCTAAGAAGAGGAGAACAAAGAAAGAATGAAAAAGAGTGAAGAAATCCTGAGTGATCTACGGGATACCATCAAAAGAACCTATATCAGAATCATTTGAGTCGCAGAAGGAGAAGAGAGGGAGCAGAGGGTAGAGAGCTTACTTAAATTCAAGATGATCTTTTCCAGGGACATTATAACAAAACTGTCAAAAATCAAAGATAAAAACAGAATCCTAAAAGTGCAAGACAAAAAAGATTATAACCTACAAAGTAACCCCCATTAACCTATCAGCGGATTTCTCAGCAGAAATGTTATATGCCAGAAGAGAGTGGGATGATATATTCAAAGTGCTGAAAGAAAAAAATTGTCAGCCAAGAATACTCTCTCCAGCAAAGTTATCCTTCAGAAATGATGGAGATAAAGACTTTTCCAGACAAATAAAAGTTGAGGAAGTTTATCACCACTAGAATTGCCTCACAAGAAATGGTGAAAGGCGTTCTTCAAGCTGAAATGAAAAGATGCTAATTAGTAACCTGAAACATATGAAAATATATAAAACACTGGTAGAGATATATATATAGTCAGATTCAGAAAATTCTAACTCTGTAATATGATGGACTATTAACTACTTAAAATGTTAAAAGACAAGAGTATTACAAATAAGTCTAGCTACTATAATTTGTTAGTGAATACACAATATAAATAGAGGTAAATTATGACATTAAAAACATAAAAGGAAATAGGAGTAAAAGGGTAGAGTTTTGTATGTGATCAAATTTAAATTGCTATAAGCGTAAAGTAGACTGTTTTATCTATAAGATGTTTTATATAAGCCTCATGGAAGCCACAAAGTCAAACCTATAGCAGATTCACAAAAGATAAAGAGAAAGGAATCAGAGCACACCACCATGGAAAATCACCAATTCATAAAGATAGACAGCAAGAGAGGAAAAAAGAACAATGGAACAACAAAACAGCCAGAAAGAAATTAATAAGATGGCATTAATAAGCTCTTACATGTAAATAATTACTCTGAATGAAAACAGATTGAATTCTCCAATCAAAAGGCATAGATGGCTGGGTGGACAAAAGCACAAGCCACAAACTATATGCTGCCTACAAGAGATTTACTCCAACTTTAAGGACACACATAGGTTCAAAGTGTAGGGATGGAAAAAGATATTCCATGTATGTGGAAACAAAAAGAGAGTGGGGATAGCTATATTTATATCAGATACAGTATACTGTAAGCCCAAAATAGTAACAAGAGACAAAAAGTTCATTATATAATGATAAAGGGGTAACTCATCAAGAAGATATAACATGTATACACACCCAACATTGGAGCACTTCAGTATATTAAACAAACACAAAAAGATCTTAAGGGAAAAATACACAACAATACAATAACAGAGGGGGACTTCAATACCCCACTTTCAACAATGGATAGATCATCCAGACAGAAAATCCACGAGGAAATGTTGAACCTGAACCTTATTTTAGACCAAACGGACCTAACAGATGTATATAGAACATTCCATTTAACAGCAGCAGAATACACATTCTTCTCAAATGCACACAGAACATTCTTCAGGATAGATCAGATGATAGACCACAAAATAAGTCTTAGCAAATTTAATAAGATTTAAATCATACCAAGTATATTTTCTGACCACAATGGTGTGAAACTAGAAATCAACAATAAGAGGAAACCTGGAAAATTTATATGCATGAGAAAACTAAACAACAAACTCTTGAACAACCAATGGGTCAAAGAAGAAATCAAAAGGGAAATAAAAAATATCTCAAAACAAATGAAAATGGAAACACAAAGCTAAGTTAAGGCTGGACTGGTTCAGAGGCAGATCTTGGGAAGTCTTGAATACCTGACTCAGAAACAGGCAAAACAGTGCAGCTGAGGTTTTCGAACCCATGCTACCTAAACATTAGGAATGGAAGTAGGGGCACAGAAAACACCATCCAGTGAATACATTCTATGGTGTGTCTAATTAAGAACAGACTTCATGCCGGGTGCTCCCAGAAATTCACCATCGTTGCCAGTCTCCTCCGTATCACTAGTCATTCATTAAGTTCACGGGACATTGTGTGAAAGGTGGAGGGTCTACTTTCCAGGTGCTAATGGCTTTGTGTGTCTATGGTATATGTGTGTATACAGGTGCTGGGTTGCAGCATTCACCTGGCTCCTCCTAAATTCAAAAACCCAGGAACTCAGCCTTCTTTATCTTCTGCACTCTGTTTGTTGTGAGTTATCAGGCAACACACTCTGTGCATGTGTGTTAATGAGTGTTAATAGTGAAAGTTATAGGGTAGACTATTTACAAGTTGTTCAACAAAGGTGCATAGCCCCTGGGGCCTGAATTTCACTGTTAGCTAACTTAAACTCTCAAAAGAACTTCCTTGTTCTCAGTCCAAACATCACTGTTATTTTGTCTAAAGTATTTCTCCTTTAAATCCTAACCATCTTTTTCCCAATTAAAACTCTTTGCTCCTTTAAAATTTATCCCTTGCTTTTCTCTCCTTTTCCTTAGGTTCTTAGGTCTGGTACTAACCAGTATTGTGAATTTAGTTAATTCATTTGACTTTCTTAGGTCTGTTTTCCAACTGGGTTGGTTTGGATTCTCTTGACCTGTCTTTTCAGTTGAAAATGATAAAATGTATGTAAAAGCTCTCTGTGAATTATTAAGGTGCAATGAAGATAAGGGATAATTATCATTTATGTTTCTATCTTTTTTTAAAAAAATTTCTTGATCCCCCCAATGGCCTCTTATAGCCCCACCTCATGCGTATCCAGGATAAGTTTTCCATTGCACTTTACAAAGAAGAAGACGGTGAGAGTATTACCGATATTTAACAGCTTCTGGAAGAGTGTCTGTGTCAGTGGTAATCAGGGGGAGGGGCTTTCTTTTTTCCCATTCTCTCTTTATACATATAGAAAGGAAACAGTTTCTATTTCTTCCAGCTATCTGAGATTTTAGAACGTGGAAGATGTGGATACAAATGACCAGTAGCAATATTTCAAATTTCACTGTCTCATGTTCCACCTATTCTGTCAGGATCCCAAACTCTTGCAACCCATCTCCCCACCAGCCTCCTAAGCATTCCTGGAAGTCTTTGGTCAGATAACACAATGTTGCTATCTACCTTTTCTTTTTCTTTTTTTCACTCAGTCTCACTTCATCTGGTTATGACTCTGCCCTCCAGATATTACTGCATCTTCCAGATTCCAACCCACCTTCTACTACAGTTGAACCTGGAGCTTGAGGGAGATGCCAACGCTGCATGGGGTGCTGCTGTGAAGTGGGAAAATATGCTTTACTCCCTTTTCTGTGCAAAGGTAGAAATGCTGCCGAGATGCCAAATGGCACAGAGTCTTTGGTGAGAGTGGTATTTCAGTTTGTACTTGTATTTCATATCCTCAGTTTCAAATATGAATTCAAAGGATGATTTGTCTGGGAGACAAATTGGAGTGATAGATCCAAGACCAGATCAGACTTTCCATTCCCTTCCAGGGACTAAGCCTTGCTTTCACAATCAAGCTTGAGATAACTGCATCCTTTTCCCTGATGGATGGTTTTCTCTCAGGAGGTGTTTCAGTCTTCTAATGGCAGAGCCAGAAGCTCAGTTCACCAGACATGCCCAACAAAAGGTGAAAAAAATTATATTCTTAACTTCTGGCACCAGAATGCCTTAAGAGATGACGCTGTCTTTAGGCAAAATACCTTGATAAGTGACTGGAGCAGATGAAAGCTGAGACCCAAAGGCCTGGGTGTTGGCTGTTACCAAGACACTTTGTTGCTAGTGGGTGAGGGTGAAGAGGAGAGAAGTGATGAGAGAGATGCCATGGGGAGAAAGTGGGACTGGGTCCTACAAGGAAAAGGGTATGATTGCAATGTGTGGGACTGGGGATGTTCAAAAGGACTTTTAAAATACAGGAAAGTCCTATAGGTGATTTTTAATTGATCACTATGTGGTTCCTGTATTCTTATCCATTTGGGGAGGGATTTGGACTGTCACAGAGCACGGAATAGAAGAGTATAGAAAATTTAAGCCAATGTCACTCAAATTTTATGAAGTAAGAGGAGCTTTCAACTGACACCTGTGCTATGTACGGGATAAAACCAGCTAAGCCTCAATCTAGGAATCTCTCTAGAAAGTTCATTCCAACTTGTAGTACAATAGAGAGGCAAGAATCCAGCCAGTGGAAACCATATGCAATTGACCCACTATTTGGAGAGGTTCTAGGATGAACCTAGATTGGATAAGTAGTCTGCTATTCTGGGGAGACTATAATGTCTTGGCAATGGGAAATGAAAGAAGAGTTAAGTTTTGACTTGAATTTTAAAAGCATGAAGACACAGTATTTGGAAGAGAAACAAATAAAGAAATTTATGTCATTGGATAAAGGCCCAGAAGCAGCACACAGAGAGAGATGGCAAGACCTTTTCTTGACTAAAGTTAGGAAAGTGCATTGAAAGGCCTTAACATGGGGAACATTCATGGTATGGGCAATAAATTCTTGTGGGGAAGGGATGCAAATCAAGGTGTAAAGTAGTCGGTAGTTATGAAAAGGATAAAGTGAAAATAATGTGTGAACACCATAATTTTGGCTTTCTTTTTTAGAATGTACTGGTAGTAAGATTCCAGAGGTAGAGAGCACGAGTGAGAGATGGAGATGTCATGAGAAAGTCGGGAAGAACCTGGGGATTGTGGAAAGGAGAAGAAAGGAGTAGCATAGAGTAGAGAAAGGATTGCTTATTTAGAGATAGATGGCTGTGGGAATGAAAGAGAATGAGGCCTGCATTTATGATGTATCACTATGGCATAGGTGATTGTCAAGAGTAATTCTAGTTATTGGTATTAGTTGCATCAACTCAAACTTCCGTTTGCCGGGGTCTTGTTGTACCCTGCGCCTCAGGCAGCCTCCAGGCCCCAGCACCTTACCTTTAAAACCTTTTTCAATGTAGGGCTGCTCAGCATTAGTGAAGTGGATTGAACAGAGACTATAGCATAGATAACAGCTTCCCAGACCCAGAACCAGGATCTCTTATCATATAGGATGCTCAGAATGGAGATGAGTATGGTCAGAAAATAAGAGGTGAAGAAGAGAAGGAAGATAGCAAGAGACCTCAGGGCAGTGGAGTGAGCGTTCACGCTGGAGTTGCTGTGGTCAGTGTTGTGATGTTGCATCTGCTCCAAGTGTTGGGACAATGAGGTCATGAGCAAGATGGTGGAGGCCAGGAACAGGAGGAAAGGAATAATCAACACAACCACTGGCTGAGATAAGGTAAATTTCTTCAGAAGCATCTTAAGTCTTTCAACCATAGTGTTGTTTCTAGGGAAATGCTCCATGGAGATTATCTGTATCTTCATGTGATTCCTAATAGCTGAAGAGATAAGAGTCACACAAGAAATCAGCAGAGAAGCCAGTAACAGCCAGGGAACCAACCTCAAAATTCTCCACCTCAACCAGAGGAAGGCGGGGTGGGTGAAGGAAGAGACTTTGACGCAGTAGATGACAGCAAGTAAGCTGGTTAACCAGAATGTAAGAGTATTTAAAAAGTCCCAGGTGATCGAGTAGTACCAAAATACATAGTTAGGGTTGAAATAGGAGCAAAAATTATACAGCATCGATGCCCACTGAGACAGAAGCGGCAGATGCCCAGGCTGGTGAGAATCACGTCCACAGGTGACAGCCTCTTTACCTGCACCCACTCTCTGCCCAGCACTGCAACAATTAAGCCACTCTGCATAATTATTGTCAAGGACTCGACCACATAGATGACCATGAAGAAGACAGTGAGTTGGATGGGAATCATCCTTCTACTCCAAAGTAACCTGCTGGAAACAGACTCAGAATCTCTGGACCAATTTCCAGGTAGGGAACACGTTTTGAGTCCCACTACTGTCTCATGCTAGAAAATACCTCCCTCTGGATGCAAATTTTCCCCAGCTCTTTTTTGACTTTGCCATTTTCCTATCTACTGGATTTACTTATGCTTTGCTTGCTGGTTTGTAATCAAGCCTGGATGCAGGGAAATGTTTGAATGTGGCTTCCTGCTCCTGAGGTGATTTGATTGTTCCCATAGAAACCATACTTATTTCATCATCATGGGTTTATTTCCTCTTCATCTGTACGAGATGTGTTTAACTTATTTCCCCATCTTCTTTAAATGATATCTTCACTCTTTTAACCTAAAATTTGAACCACAGGAATGATAAATCCTTCACTGCCCATTCACATCCTGGGTAATACATCTGTTCTGCTGAGTGCTATAATAATGCCAATTTCAGAAGGTGTCTCTCCAGCTTCTGCAGTAGCTGGAGGTGGGTGCTATAACCAAAGTGTGAGAGTAAATAATAAATAATAAAGAAAAGTCCTTACTCTGAGGTTCCACCCACAAAATTGCTGGAACCCCAGTCCTTCAAGTATCCTCATCCAACACAGGCCACTTTCAGAACTGCCCGTCGAATTCCTCAACTCAGAGAAATTGCTGCCCACTGGCCATTGCACTCCCTACACTGCAGGTGTGGCATCCTCAGCTGTTGTTCTGTGATTCCAGTGCCTTCAGCATACACTTTGTCTGTTTTGGGGAGTTGTTCTTATGCCGTTAACATCACTGTTTTGTTTTTTCTCCTTATATGGCTAGGCTCTTTTTGTCACTACTCACATTGTTCAAGATGAATTGAAAGAGGGCCCTCTTATCACTGTAAAACAATTTTTTAAAATTAGGCCTACTGAATAGAGATGCCTAGAAGACTTGCTCTCTTATTTGTTCTATTTGTTGTCATTGAGCTTCCCCTTCTCTGACTAGCCTGTGGAGACAAACGGCATCACTGTGGTGGTAACATCAAATGCCACTGACCCGGGTGTAACCTGGTTCTGTACAATTGCAGCCCTCTGTAAATTACCTTAGGTATTTCTGGCAGTGTCTCCTGTGGGCTTGCAAACAAGTCTGATCCCAGTGGGCGCTGGATGGCACCATCTGTCAGGCATCTGCTGAAGACGCTGCACCTGCCGGCTGCTTCCCTTTCCAGCTGTATAGCATGGCCTCTGCTGCACTCTTCCCCATCATATGTTCTTGCTACTCAAAGCCCCACCCTTGAGTCCTGAGCAACAAGTAGTCTGTGATGAAGCAGATCTGTGTTCACACTCTGAGCTGTCTGAGGGGCTTGGAAGCTGAATGTCTTGCCCTTCTATCTTTTGTAATCTCACTTGAGGCAAATTTGTTTTGCAGTTGCCCAAACAACTACCATAGCACCCTCATGACGCAACCTCTTTTTCTGTATCAATTCTAGGACCACAGTTCTGAGTATCTGATGTTGCTGGTGTGGACATGAGCACATGGTGGTGTGTGGCACCTTGGAACATGAAGAAGGTAATTGAAAGCCTCAGGGACAAAAAGATCCCTATAAGCAGGGAACTTGTGAATTTGTAGACTTCGGGTGTTGTTTTGGACAAGGACAAACTACATATTACTTCTAAATATCTAGGAATTAACCCGTAGCTATATAGGCAGATTAAAATTAGGCCTAAAAAGAATGAATTCAGGAAATGAGTTCAGGAAAACTATTCCAGATAGACACTAAATATTTAATCAGTGGCTTCAAAAGCAAGAGGAGAATTCTAATAATTGCTAGTTAGAGATGGAGACAAAGTGAAAATCATCGATCCCATGCGTGAGAAGCACCAAGTCTGTATGGACTTTTAATCATTCAAGGAAGACAAAACAGAAGCAATCCAATATGAAGCTTAGAATTCTTGAACATGAAACAAGAAACCACTGAACTCATGATGCAAAGGTAAACCATAGCTTAAATCACGTGCATTCAAATTTTCTTAAGAGGGTAAATCTCATGTTAAGTGTTCTTACCATGAAAACAAAACAAAACAAAACAAGAAAGGGACACAAGGAAATTGTGGGAGGAGTTGCATATGGCTGTTACCTTAATTGTTGTGATGGGATCACCAGTGTTTGCATATGTCTAAACTCACCAAATTGTACACATTAAATACGTGTAGTTGTTTGCATATCAGTTGTACCTCAATAAAATAAAAGCAATAAAATGAAAAACAATAACTGAGGCCCAAGTTCCATCCCTAACACTGATTTAATTGTCTGAGGTGTAGCCTGGGTATCAGGATTTTAAAAATCACCCCATCTAGACCTTGAGAGTTTGATGTTAAGTGAAATAAGCCAGACAGAGAAAGACAAAAACTATATGATTTCACTCATATGTAGAAGATAAACACATGAATGAAGAGAACAGATTAGTGGTCACAAGAGGGGAAGCGGGGTGGGCAAAAGGGGTAAAGGGGCGCATATATATGGAGACGGATAAAATCTAGACCATTGGTGGTGAGCATGATGCAGTCTATACAGAAACTGATACATAACAATGTACACCTGAAATTACACAATGTTATAAACCAATATGGCCTCAATAAAATAATTGAAAAAAAGATCACCCCAACTAATTCTAGAGGCCAGCTCGGTTTTAGGTCCACTGCTTTAGAGCCTTCTCTCTGGAGAAGACACCTGAATGGGTGGTGAGAACCAAAGAACTGCTACATGTATTTTTATTTTGAAAATCATCTGTGAGGGGGCGAAGTAAGCTTTTAATTTCATAAGCTTTTAGCAGTTGGAAAATGACAGGAGTGTCCGTTTCTCCAGGAAATATTTTTCGTTGATCCATACTATGAAGATGGCCCTCTTAAAATACAGTTTTATCCCTCAGTGCGTTCACACAATATGAATCTTGCTGGAGCTCTCTTAGTTTCCAAATTAGTGACTATGCACAAGTTTCTTCTGATATAACCCAGAAATCTGGTATATTGATTACGCTAGAAAAGCCACAACTTTCCTCTGAGTACAAATGAAATGTTTAATGCTATACATTTCAATATTTTCAAAGCAGTCACCAACTCTATGTGTGTTATAATTGTCTAATAGCATTAGAACCTGCACGTTATACAAAATGTAGGGCCATGGCTTCTAAACAAAGCTTCTCCTCTGAAGAGCCTATGAAGATTTATACTCTTTATATCTCTTTTACCTTCCCTGTGTTATATAAATGCAGATAATTTGGCTTTGGAGGTAACTTAAACCGACTCTTGCTCCTACATATAGTAGGGGAAGCTTCTTTTCAGTCTGCGACTCAGCCTCATTTTTCCAGGTATATATTTCCTCTGCAGAGGAAGATTGCATCCATCCTTAAAGACTGTGGGATAAGCTATTTCATCCTCATCCCAAAATGAACAGCATGCTTTGTTCACCTACATTTCCCTTTGTAACTCCATTTCCTGAAAAATAGAACTCCTTCCCCCACAGGCTGGGCATAGACTTTTGTGCCTTTGACCTTGTTAAAGCAATCCCAGATTTGACAAAAAACAGTGGATTCAGATATTTCCCAATTAGCCAAACACATTTTCTTCCTTGTGTTACTAGCATTCAATAACCATCAGAATTCATCTTTTTCATGTGGCAATGACTCCCAAATGGTAAGCATTTTAAAAGAATGTCTATAGTGACTAATGTGGTCGAAGCACAGGGTCAGAGAGCATTCTCTCTCTTATTTCTAATTCTGTCACCAACCTGTGTGGCCCGAAGCAAGTAATTTTTTCTTTGCTTTTTATCTCATTCTTTAAATAAGAATCATAGCATGAATCTGTTTAGTCTCCAATTTATTGAATGTACACATTGCTGAAGCCCTGAGATCATATACCTAGTCAGCCGGCAAATTGCAAATTATAGATAATACAAGAACTATAATTTAATACTAAAGTGATGCTACCCAAAGGCCTTAGACAAAAGTCTGACCAAAGGACCAGCACTGCCATCAACAACAAAACAACCATGATTCAAGTGACATACATAACTTCACTAGGCATGACCCCTGTTTTCATCACCCTTACGAGGCGCTATCCCTGATGTCCTAGAACCTTCGAATACTCAAGGTGCACAGCTTCTGGTGATCTGTGCTAACATGGAGGAAGATAACTCCCCCTTCTCTCCTGTTATATTCAACTAGAGGGGTCCCAAAGTCAAACACACTCTCCAGACCCTCAGAGATGTTTTATTTACTTTGTCTTTCTCTCCCTGGGACATAGTATAAGTCCATAAGGCTGGGAGGAGTTAGGGCATAACCATAAACACTGCCCTCAGAGCCACTACTCTCTTGTAATGTTTAAAGCCCTGGTTCCCTTGGATTAATAGCATCAGCATCTCCTGAAAAATAGTTAGAAATGCAAATTCTAGGGCCATACCCACACCTACTGAATCTGAATCTTGGAGTGGGATCCACGAATCTGAATTTTAACAAGCTATCTAGGTGATTTTGATGCTTGACTGAGCAGTCACTAGGAACTGACTCGACGGCACTAAGTTTAATCTACAAATGAGAGAATTTTCCTCCAGAAAGATAAAACTATCAGTTATAATTGTGTTTACTCATTCATTCATTCAGCAAATATTTATTAAGTGTCCATTGTGAGCCAGGCTCTCTTCTTGGCCTTGGGGATGGAGAAGGAGAAGTTTGGGTATGTTAAGTTTGAGATGCCGATTTTAGATACTGTTTTGGAGCTAATGAGTGGGCAGTTGAGTATATACTGCTAGAGTTCAAGGATGAAGTCCGAGCTGAAGATGCAAATTTGAGATTCCTCAGCATATAAAGGTGTTATTTAAAAACCTGGGACTTCGTGGTATTTCCACGAATGAGTGTAGATAAAGAAGAACTCTGAGGACTGAGCTCTGGGTCACTCCAATCTTTAGTGATCAAGTTGATGCAGAATCAACAAAAGAGACCAGGGAAGTAGAAC